AAGTAAGGTGGCCCCTCCCGCCTTGGGGTTGCCCCAAAAGTCCGCGCGCGATGTGCGTCGCGCCCCATTCCTGCCACGCATTTCGCATCGTCGACGACAAGACAGGCCATGATAACAGGAAAAACGGCAACTCTGTATTGTTTTTTCACAATCGGAATGCGAGGGCCCGCAGCCCGCATGGACGTCCGCGCGCCATGTGCGCCGCGTCCCATTCCTGCTACATATTTCGCACCGTCGGCGACAAGGCAGGCCATGCTGAGAGGAAAAAACGGAGATTTTGTATTGAATTTTTACAGTCAGGATGGGCGGGCCCGGATTGACGGCCGCGCGCGATGTGCGCCGCGTCCCATATGTGCGCCGCGTCCCACTGATGCCACATATTTCGCACCGTCGGCGACAAGGCAGGCCATGCTGAGAGGAAAAAACGGAGACTTTGTATATTTTTTTTCCAGTCAGGATGGGCGGGCCCAGATTGACGGCCGCGCGCGATGTGCGCCGCGTCCCATTCCTGCCGCGCTTTTCGCATCGTCGACGACCAAGAAAAACGATGTTGAGAAGAAAAACGGCCACTTTGCATTGATTTTTTTCAGTCCGGAAGGGAGGTCCCGGTTTGGGTCGCTATCGGCCAGAATACGAGGTAGGTGGGGGTATATAATAATAAGGAACAAGGACGTGGCCCCCTAAGGAAGGCCACCCCCCATTGCCACCCCCGCCCGGGCGAGAAGAGGAGGAGGAGGAGGAGGAGGAGGAGGAGGAGGAGGAGCGCCAGAACCCCCTCCCTCCCTCTGGCGCGCGGAGGGCGCGCCAAGGCTGGCGCCGGAGGGGCGCCGCCCGGCCGGGCCCGGCGCCGGTCGCTCCTCTCCGAGGGCCGCGCGCGCCAGGCACATCGAAAGCACGCCGACTCTGCTCTCGTCTGCTCGGGCCCGCGGCGGCCCTCGCCGAGCCCCAGGATTATGTTGTTCCTATCCTGCTTTCGGGGATGGACAGACCCCCCTTTAGTAAAACGTGGTTTAGAGAAAACGGCCTGAGGCCCAAACCTGGCGGGCGCAAGCATGGAAAATAACGGCCACGGCGCCCTCTCGAGAACCGAAAACGGACAATTCACTAATCGACGTGTCACTGTTGAAGGTTCTGTCCAGCCCCGATACTTAAGGACCACATCCCAGAAATAATTTCGAGCACCCGGAAAAGTCTCAAAAGAGTGTCGACACAGTGTCGGGCGAGTGTCTCCCAGAGCCCGACACGTGAACACCCTTGAGTTTCGGTACTTTTTTGGGCGCTCGAAAGTCTTCCTGGTGATCAAGGTGGAAGTAGGTTGGAGCATCATAACCCCAGGACCGTCAACGACCACTCAAGACGAGTCGTCGGCGTCGCCGTCGCCGTCGCCGTCGTCGTTGTCGCCGCCGCCGCTCCCCCCTCCCTGGGCCCTCCTCGTCAAACGTCCCAGCCAAAGAGAAATCGAGCAACGCCGTCATCGAGTCGATGGGAAGCCCCTTCCCTTTGAACCCTTCCGGGGCGGTGGGGTCTGGGTCCAGACCTCTGCTTAATGCGACTGTTTGCTACAGTGCGTCCTATGGGGGAGACCCCGCCTGCTCGAAACAGGCGTCAAAAACAGCCAAGATCTACTCCACGGGGGGGGGGAAGGGGGGTGCGAGGGCCCGCGCCGATCGGCAGAACAATGAATAAGAAAACGATCACCATGGTTGGGTCCTGGTTTCTTTGTACCCCTCGCTGCCACGGACAATCCAGATCACAACCAAAAGGCCTTCGTGGCGACCCTACGATACGCATTTTAACTTACCGGAGAGGATGCGAACGGAGAGTGCGCGAGTGACGTGGGCAGCTGTTCGCCTTGTCTGCGTCATGGCATGTTGGTACGCTCCCCTGCTCAAGTCAATTCGCGTATGCATCGCCGCTGGATGGGCCGGTTGGGATGGGCAAACACCTTCTTGCTTTCCTTGTCTATCCGTGCGCTCATGGGCGCACGATCCGCTCTTGCGAGGGCGGCGATGTCTGAGATTTTCCCCCATTCTTCTCGCGCTGGCGCACCCCGGCCGTTCCGCCGCTCCAGGAGACAGTGGGATGGCTCGGTAGGGGTCGGTCAGGCCGCCCCTGGCTCGAAGGGGACGCCCAGGGGGGGCCTCCAGGGGCTAGCACCCGTCACTGAAACGCGTCAGGTTTTGGGCGTCCAGGACAGCCAAATAGGGCTCCCAAAGGCCCCCCCAAGCCCCTAAAACGCCCCCAAGATGGCCCCCAATATGCCCCAATGACGGCCTCAAGACGTAAGAGAAGCACTGAATGGGCTCCAGGTGGCCTTCCCAGAAACCCCCCAAAGGCCCCAAGAGGGTCCAAGAGTGCTGAAGAAACCCGGAGGAGGGGGGGGTCGATCCCCCCCCCCACCGCTGTACTTTTGCTCACTCACTCACTCAGTCATGCCATACGCCAGAGCGCATGGGCGAAAGAAGACAGGTCTAGCCTAGTCTCACCGCTCTGCGGGAGCGGCGGCACGACGGCGGTCGCAAGCCCCCCTTCCGACTTCCTTTCGACGTGCAAAGCAGAAACCCTTTCATACAGTTCAAGCGTCTTAATCAAATCGCACGTAACATCCCAACACCATTTCGCATACTTTGAACCGGGAGGGTGCCACGGTCAGCTCCGAATGCGGCCCAGGCTCCAGGGGCGGGAGGGGGAGACGAGCTCGCAGCGCAACGGGAAGATCACTGGCGCAGCTTTTGGGCCCGCCCGCTGCCTAAGTCTCCCATCGCGCAGCTCCACGCCGCCCGCACGTCGGCCTCCTCCGCGCTGGGCGCCCCGTCCTCGTGGCGGGCCCTGGACATCATGTCGAGGAAGGACAGCCCCTCTGCTCCGCGCCGGGCGTACTTTGTGCTGCACAGCTCCCTGGCCTTCGCCTGCGCGGGGCGCCGTGTGAGCCCAGGAGAGGGGGGAACTGACCGGGCCAGCCCCGCCCGAGCTCCCCCCCCAGGCTGCTTCGGCCAGCAAAATTTGAAGCCTCCCGGATGGGGTCCGAGCAGACGAGGTCGGATGATCGTGCTGCATCGCCGATGCATCGGCGACGTCGGCGGTACATCGGCGACGCCGGCGTGGACAACATCGGGCTCCACATCGAGCCGCATCGCTGATGCATTGCGACCCCATCCGGGCCCAAGACTTCTCTGGAGGGCGACGATCGGAGGCTTCAACCCCCTCCTCCTTCTCCTGCTCCTCCTCCTCCTCCTCCTCCTCCCCCTCCTCCTCCTCCTCCTCCTCCTCCTCTCCCCCTCCCCTCCTCCTCCTCCTCCTCCTCCTCCTCCTCCTCCTCCTCCTCCTCCTACTCTTCCTCCTCCTCCTCCACGCGATGCAGCGCGATCCTCCGACCCGATCCCTTCCGACCCCACCCGGGAGGCTCGGCGTGTGGGGGGGGAGAGGGCGCTGGCCTCTGTGGGGGTCTGCATGAGCGCCGAGAGGGAGAGGAGAGGCACAGGGAGGACGTTCTGCATCCCCCCAGACCCGTTTTTGATGGCCCCGGGGCCCGACGAAGGGCCCCAAGGGCCGAAATCGAGGAAAGGCGCCCGCAAGAACCGCACCAACCCTAAGTCTCTAATCCTATAACTATTAAACCATGACTACTACAAAACCGCTCGTTATGCAAACCAGCTCCATCTCCTGCAAAAAAGAAAATCTGCACATGCGTGCAGAAACTCGTGTATTTTACACTGCAAATTGCCCAGTCTCCGTTACGACCCGGCTCCATCTTCTGCAAAAATAGTATTTCCTGAGCATGCGGGCGGAATCTCATGTATTTTACAATACAAAGTGCCCAGTCCCCGTTGCGACCCCGCTCCATCTATTGCAAAATATATAATTTCCTGAGCATGCGTGCAGAATCTCTGGTATTTTACAATACAAAGTGGGACACCGTTATGTAAACAGGCTCCATCTATTACAAAAAATAACACTTCCTGCGCATGCGTGCAGAATCTCTCGTATTTTACAGTGCAAAGTGCCTTCCGTTGCGAGCCGATCCACCCATTCCAAAAAATAGCCTTTGCTGCGCATGCGTGCAGAATCTCTTCCGCCCGACCCGACTCTTCCCGCCCGTTAGAGCACTCGCGTGCCAACTGGATCGCACATCGGTCGTCGCCGTCGTCGTCGTCGTCGTCGACGCTGTATTCGATGTGCTTCTAACGAGGGGAGAGATGATCTTTATGGTGGGGTGGCTTGCGGGTGGGAGTGACGGCCACCGCAGGTGGGCTCACGGTCCAGGTGTACTCGTGGCCACGCCTAGTAGACCCTAAATTTCTAATCCTATAATTATTAAACCCTAACCTAACACCGGCCACCATGCAATCCGGCTCCATCTACTGCAAAATTAGCCTGGCGAAGAACCCAACCATATGCAGTTGTCAGTACCGCAGCTGCGGGTTTCATCTTCAATGGAACTCCCCATAGGATTACGAAACGTGTGAGGGGTGTGCCGAATTGGGTGCGGGTGGTGACGCATGCGGGCGGCAGCACTGGGGCCTTCGGTGGAGCTCCCCATGGGGCCACGAAACCTGTTGTTGTGAGGGGCGTGCCGGGATGGGTGGCGGGGACGCATGTGAGCGCGGCCGCTGGGGCCTTCGGTGGAGCTCCCTATGGGGCCACGAAACGTGTGAGGGGTGTGCCGAATTGGGTGGGTGTGGGTGACGCATGTGAGCGCCGCCACTGGGGCCTCCGGTGGATGATGGGGCCACGAAACCTGTCAGGGATGTGCCGAAATGGGTGTGCGGGACGCATGCGCATGTGAGCGCCGCCACTGGGGCCTTCGGTGGAGCTCCCTATGGGGCCACGAAACGTGTGAGGGGTGTGCCGAAATGGGTGTGGGTGACGCATGCGGCGCGGGCACTGGGGCCTTCGGCGGAGCTCCCTATGGGGCCACGAAACGTGTGAGGGGTGTGCCGAAATGGGTGTGGGTGACGCATGCGGGCGCGGGCACTGGGGCCTTCGGTGGAGCTCCCTATGGAGCCACGAAACGTGTGAGGGGTGTGCCGAATGGGTGTGGGTGACGCATGCGGGCGCGGGCACTGGGGCCTTCGGTGGAGCTCCCTATGGAGCCACGAAGCGTGTGAGGGGTGTGCCGAAATGGGTGTGGGTGACGCATGCGGGCGCGGGCACTGGGGCCTTCGGTGGAGCTCCCTATGGAGCCACGAAACGTGTGAGGGGTGTGCCGAAATGGGTGTGGGTGACGCATGCGGGCGCGGGCACTGGGGCCTTCGGGGAGCTCCCTATGGAGCCACGAAACGTGTGAGGGGTGTGCCGAAATGTGTGTGGGTGACGCATGCGGGCGCGGGCACTGGGGCCTTCGGCGGAGGTGCTCCCTGGAGCCACGAAACGTGTGAGGGGTGTGCCGAAATGGGTGTGGGTGACGCATGCGGGCGCGGGCACTGGGGCCTTCGGTGGAGCTCCCTATGGAGCCACGAAACGTGTGAGGGGTGTGCCGAAATGGGTGTGGGTGACGCATGCGGGCGCGGGCACTGGGGCCTTCGGTGGAGCTCCCTATGGAGCCACGAAACGTGTGAGGGGTGTGCCGAAATGGGTGTGGGTGACGCATGCGGGCGCGGGAACTGGGGCCTTCGGTGGAGCTCCCTATGGAGCCACGAAACGTGTGAGGGGTGTGCCGAAATGGGTGTGGGTGACGCATGCGGGCGCGGGCACTGGGGCCTTCGGTGGAGCTCCCTATGGAGCCACGAAACGTGTGAGGGGTGTGCCGAAATGGGTGTGGGTGACGCATGCGGGCCGCGGGCACTGGGGCCTTCGGTGGAGCTCCCTATGGAGCCACGAAGCGTGTGGGGGTGTGCCGAAATGGGTGTGGGTGACGCATGCGGCGCGGGCACTGGGGCCTTCGGTGGAGCTCCCTATGGAGCCACGAAACGTGTGAGGGGTGTGCCGAATGGGTGTGGGGGACGCATGCGGCGCGGGCACTGGGGCCTTCGGTGGAGCTCCCTATGGAGCCACGAAACGTGTGAGGGGTGTGCCGAAATGGGTGTGGGTGACGCATGCGGGCGCGGGCACTGGGGCCTTCGGCGGAGCTCCCTATGGAGCCACGAAACGTGTGAGGGGTGTGCCGAAATGGGTGTGGGTGACGCATGCGGGCGCGGGCACTGGGGCCTTCGGTGGAGCTCCCTATGGAGCCACGAAACCTGTGAGGGGTGTACCGAAATGGGTGTGGGTGACGCATGCGGGCGCGGGCACTGGGGCCTTCGGTGGAGCTCCCCATGGAGCCACGAAGCGGTGTACTGGGTGGGTGAAGAGGAGAGGAGGAGAGAATGATAGGAGGGGAGGGGAGGCGGAGGAGGAGAGGAGGAAGGAGACGCGGGGCACCGTCTCTTCAAAACGAGGACCCAACAACACAGGTTGGTTGGGAAAAACATGTTCTGAGCATGCGTGCATAATCTCTTGTATTTTACACTGCAAAGTGCCCGGCCCCCGTTGCGTTCCGCCTTCATCTATTGCAAAAAAAACATTTGCTGAGCATGCGCGCAGAATCTCTTGTATTTTACACTACAACAAACCCGGTCCCCGTTGCGACCCGGTTATGTAAACCTGATCCATCTACGGCAAAAAATAACATTTGCTGAGCATGCGTGCAGAATCTCTTGTATTTTAAATTGCAAAGTGCCCGGCCCCCGTTGCGACCCCGCTCCATCTACTGCAAAAAAATATTTGCTGAGCATGCGTGCAGAATCCGCCGACCCCTTGGGGATCATCGGCGTGTGAGATGCTTCCCCCTCCCCAAACCCCTCCCCCGGGAGCCTGGTCCGGTCGATTTGGAGGGGGGGGGGTCCGGGACGAGCGCAGCACGGCCGGGACGAGCGCAGCACGGCCGGGACGAGCGGTTCACGGGGCTTTTCCGGGCCCAAGAGGGCCTCAAGACGGGCCAAGAAGCCCCCAAGAGGCCTCCAAGACGGCCCACGAAGGCCCCGAGACGCCAAACGACCGCTCCAAGACGCCCAAGATGGCCCCAAGACGGGCCAAGAGGTCTCCAAGACGGCCCCCGAGGTCCCAAACAAGCCTCCCAAGAGGGCCCCAAGAGTCTAAAATTGTTGATTTTCCAATGTTTTTCTATGTTTTTTGCTTTTCCGCCTTTTCGGCTTCCCGACGCTCCAAGACAGCCAAGAGGCCCCAAAGACAGCCCCAAGATGGCCCAAGAGGCCCCCAAGACGGCCTCCAGACGGCCCCAACACGGCCCAAGAGGTCCCCAAGACGGCCCAAGAGGGCTCCAAGACGGCACCAAGAGGGGCCCAAGAGGGCGACCAAACATGTTGAAACTCTAGCTTTCTGCCCCCAGGAGCCCCAGGGGGCCCCAAGAGTGCCCCAAGAGGCCCCCAGAGGCCCTCACGAGGCCGCCCAGACGCCCCAAGGAACCCCCAAGAAGCACCCCAGAGGCTCCGAAACGGCCCCCAAGTGGCTCCAAAACTCGCGGTGTCGCCGTCCGCTCGGACCCCCCCGCGGAACTGCCCGAGACCCTCTGGCGGTGGCGGCAAACAGACACCAAACAAATATCACTCGCCTTTTTCACCCCTTCGCAGCTTCTACTACTCCCAGATTGGCATAAACAAGGGGTCGGCGGTGTGGCGTAAACCTAAGAATCTCCTGTATTTTACCATACACAATGCGACCCCGTCATGTACACCGGCTCCATCTCCTGTACAAACTCGCGCTTCCTGCGCATGCGTGCAGAATCTTTAGTCCGTTAGAGCACTCGCGTGCCAACTGGATCGCACATCCGTCGTCGCCGTCGTCGTCGTCGTCGTCGTCGTCGTCGACGCTGTACTCGCTGTGGTTGTACCGAGGGGAGAGATGATCTTTATGGTGGGGTGGCTTGCGGGTGGGACTGACGGCCACCGCAGGTGGGTTCGCGGTCCAGGTG